AACAACTCATGGATCAGGCCAAGCTTGTACGGGCGAATCTCGCCGATAGCTTTGCGCACGGTGTGCGTGGATACTTCGAACAAACGCGCGGCTCTTCGCAGAGACAAGCGGGGATCTGCCTCGAAGGCCCCCGCGATGGCGAAGCCGAGCTGTTTCTTTTGAGGTGGGACATGGAAGGCGTGCGTTTTGTTCTTGACGCTATATTCTTCTGCGAAGCGCCGGGCCAACATCCAGATCACCATTTTCGAAGGTGGCCGTAAGCTCTAATCCGAAAAAAAACTTGTGCTTGACCATTTTTAAACTCCTCAGTTCGGTGTACGAAAGTACGACCTGATTTCGTGGTTTGCGCGTTAATTGCCGCATAAGGAACACCAATTGGTAATAAAAAAATAAAAAAAAAATGCATGAATATGAGCACTCAAGGCAGGTGCGCGTAGATGACTGTCGGCGTTCGTGAAGACAGAAGCAGACGACGTCTGCTTCGGTATTTGTGTGGAAACCTTTTCATAAATAAACCAAGTGAGATACAATTCCAGATATTTCATTTAGTTTTCTTTCCTTCTATAATTAACCGACAAAGTTATGGGCAAGGCTAGGATACTTTTGTCAGGTATTTTAACTTTGCCGCCAGTCGTTCGGATTAGACACGCGGGAGGAGCGCGGGAAGCTTCTGACAAGTGGCGCCATCTGCGAGATGCGGTCGGAAACAGAGGCATTTCGTCTGCTGCTTCTCACGGACGGCGTGATGTCAGAGGCGAAAACAGTTTTTTACCTCCAACTTTTTATTCCGGTAATGGTAAATGTTGGCATTACGGAATCTTGCTCGAACGGCTGAGACTATTTTTTGACAGAGTTGGAGCTCCCCGCAATGCTTCGTTTATTTTTGCAGTGCAAAAAGCCGGGTTCGGATTTCTCACAAACGCCCGGTATATTCTTCCTGCCGAAGAGGTCCGCACGGGCCTCAATACCTTTCTATGCAAAATCTGTGCCGCGCACATTCTGTTTCTTTTTTTATTATTATTATTCTTATATATCGAGCAAGCACACACTCAATATTAGGAAATAATCATGTAAAACTGGGAATGGGCACTCCTTAGGTCGACAATCTGTATGTGTTTTTTTTTGTCTATTTTTTGAATGTTAAACATTGGAGGGAAGGGCGCTTATTCCGGAAACGGTGGATTGTGAGCATTTTAGGGTAGGAGTTTCTCGTCGCTGTAACTCTACAGACGCTTTCAGCGAGTCAGTTACTCGAGCTGCCACCAGTCGGCGCGCCCTTCGCGCGCTTTCCCTAGGGAGGCTGTAGTGAGGGTGGGCGCAACTCAAAACCTGGAGAGCGTTTGCAATTTAATGGCGGCGCCTGAGGGAGAGGATTCGAGAAAGGGTATGCGCCAGTGTTGCCTGCACGAGAGCAGGCGCCCGCTCTGTTGCAACTCTGTTGCTCCATGCGCCTTTCCTCCTCTCGCTTCCCATTGCAAGCAACGAGCGCCTTGGCGCAGCCTCTCTCGCTTCCTTCTCGCTCCGAGAATTGCAAACGTCGAGCGGAGAAAGCAAAGTTGCCAGACAAGCAGCAACGTTCAAGATGGCGGAATTTACCATCTTTCGCGTTAAAAAAATACTTAACCTATCGCAACAAAACTGGTGGCTATGGAAAAGTAATCATTTATACCTTGTGTAGATTATTCAAGCACCTTAATGGGCTTTTATGACCCGAGTTAGGAAAGAAAACGACCCTTTGCCCCATAGACTCCCAGCAAAATTTAGCAATTAAATGGCGTCCATGTCCCGTGATCGCCGATCTAGCAGTTGCACCCACCCTCACTTGAGCCTCCCTAGCTTTCCCGGCCGCCATAGCCGACCTTCAGTTTCTCGCCGTTGCTCCGCGTTGTGTGCTGCACAGGCCACTGCCGGAGCTTCGTTTTCGTGTTCTTTTACATTGCGCGTTGAAATCTTGGATTTTCTTTAGGTCTTTTCGATATCTCGCACTTTCATTTAATCATTTGATCTTTATATTTCGACATAGCTCTTGCATTTTCTTATTTATGTTCTGGAATCGGACAGCCAATGGGTCGACGATACAAGATTATGAGGCTTCAATGACCATGTAGGTTCATTCCATTCTTACGTTTTTGTCGCTAATAAAGGGCAGTCAACACTATTGCGACATATGTAAATTGCAACTGACGTAGTAAGGCTTCTCGCTGCATGAGCGCGCTCGTTTCCGTAAAGCCGACTCGCCATATAAGCGATTTAGCGTGCGACGAGACGAGCGACGGAGATTTCTCACTGTCGCCCGTCGCATCCCTCGGTTTTGGGATTTCTAGAAAACGTCGCTCACCGTCTTGGTCGCTTGCTCCGTCGCTTCCATGCGGTTTGCCTCGTCGCGCGACTGACTGAGCGACAGCGAAGCGGGTCGCCGTCGCTTATCTGGTCGCTCGACAAATAGCTTACATGCGGTTTATACTCAACTAATTTTCATGCACACACCATTGAACCATTGGCGCCTCGATATTAACTATAAACCGCATGCAAGCGATTCGGCGAGCAACGAGACAAGCGACGGTGACCCGCTTCGCTGTCGCTCGGGCAGTCGGGCGATGAGGCAAACCGCACGGAAGCGACGGGAGCAAGCGACCAAGACGGTGAGCGACGTTTTCTAGAAATCCCAAAAAACCGAGTGATGCAACAGGCGACAGTGAGAAATCTTCGTCGCTGACTCTAGTCGTTGTCGCCGTCGCTCTTCTCATCGCACGCTAAATCGCTTACATCCGGGTCGGCTTTACGGAAACGAGCGCGCACATGCAGCGAGAAGCACGACTGGATTGCCTTACTGCGTTAGTTGAAACTTGCATATGTCGCAATGGTGTTGACTGCCCTTTATGAGCGACAAAAACGTTAGAATGGGATTTACTTACATGGTCTCTGAAGCTATAATCTTGTATCGTCGATGCATTCGCTGTCCGATTCCATTTCATAAATAAGAAAATACAAGAGTTATGTTTAAATATTGATATCAGATGAGTAAATGAAAGCCCGAAATATTGAAAAGACCCAAAGAAAACACATGATTTCAACGCGGACGTAAAAGAACGCGAAAACAAAGCTCCGGTAGTGGCCAGTGCAGCACAAAACGCGAAGGACGGGCGAGAAACTGAAGGGCGGCTATGGCGGCAGGGTCACGTGACGTCAAGATGGCGGCGCCCATGAAATGTTGCCTGAAAGGGGCTATACGTCTGATCCGCGCACCGCTTTGAGCTTCGCTGTCGCCTTTCCTGAGGTACCTGCCGTACCTGTATTGTGGCCACTATGCAAGAGAAGTTTGACCTGCGGTTGAGACGTTCCGTCACTTTTCTTGTTATGGCATCAGTAAGATTCTTTGCGAATTTTGGCACTAATTAAATCATGAAATGCTTGAGATGACTTGGTAGCTGCGACGGCAGTGGACACTTTTTCTAAAGAACACGCTCCTTCGCAGATCTCCTGGGTCGCCTGCTTCGGGTTGGTAATCCTAGCCGTGTTTAAACGGCAGCCCCGTGAGCGGCCCGTCTTGCAAGTCACCAAAGCCCCCAAGCCTGCGCTTGATCGGATACGTGCTTTTCAACGCGGCTGACTTTGGACCGGACATCTCCCTATCGAAAAAGGCCATTTGTATACGAAATTTCTTGTGTTCAATGAACACATATGAATCATACAAGATATGTAAGAACATACAAGAACCATATAGACCAACACGCTAGTTTGAAGGTCACGGAGCTGCGGCGGCGCTGCGATCGCGCCGGAGCCGGGTGGTGTGGGCAAAAGCGCATCCGTTTTGCATGGGTGCCCTTAGCGAAAAGTCGTTCAAAATCAGTATACTGAAAGTATACTAATAGTGAACTTAGGGTATGTACTGAAATCGTACTAGTTTCACACTTTAATGAAACAAAATAGTATACCTTTAGTACACCCCAAGTACATATGTAGTATACCATAAGTGCAACTCGAGTATACATCTAGCATCATATAAGTGCACATTTAGTACACTACATGTATGCTTTTAGTGTACTAAATGTACACTACCGGTACATATACAGGGGTGTCCCAGATAAATTGTACCAAACATTAAAAAAAAAACAAAAAAAAAAAACGGGGCGTTCTGCGGGAGTGAAATTCACTGTACGCGGTTAGCAAGTTTCTTGCGAAAGTGCACGAGATTGTTTTAGTGCGCCTAGTTATTTAATAAAGACTAGCGAGCTAACTTTGGAAATCTTCGTTTAAAAGCCGAGGTGGGAAATGGAAAGTTGTAGAGCGCATTAAGAAACACCCAATTAAACTATTTTCAACAAGGCGCACTTTGCATGCTCCTTTTTTCCTATGAAGATTTCCAAAGTTAGCTTGCTAGTCTTTATTAAATAATTAGGCGCACTAAAACAATTTCGTGCACTTTCGCAAGAAACTTGCTAACAACGTACAGTTGATTTCACTCCCGCAGAACGCCCCGTTTTTTTTTGTTTTTCTTTTTTAAAGCTTAGTGCTAGTTATCTGGGACACTCCGCATATATATACTGGTAGTGTACATTTAGTACACTAAACGCATAGATTTAGTGTACTAAACGTGCACCTAGAGTACACTAAAAGTACACTCGAGGTGCACTTATGGTATACTACATATGTACTTGGGGTGTACTAAAGGTACACTATTTTGTTTCATAAAAGTGCGAAACGAGTACGATTTCAGTACATACCCTAAGTTCACCATTGGTATACATTCAGTATGCTGATTTTGAACGACTTTTCACTAAGGGTAGCGCATGCCGCGTTACAGCCCCAGCTTGTAGTTATAAACATCACAACGTGAAAAACAAAAAAGAAGATATGCGTTTTTTTTGTAGTTTTTTTTATAAATGATAGATTCGGATGAAACGCACATGATAATGCTTTATTTATCGCAGTCGCCGTAAAAAAAAAGTCCCTTCCCTTGTTAGGCATTGCACAATTATCCTTTATTTTTTTTTTTTTCCTTCTTGTTTTACAAGTCCTTAGCCCACTTTTGGAGGTGCTTGAGCTCTTCTTCGGTGCAGGGATTCTGAGAAAGAGAATGCAATTCTGATTTTATAACAAGTAGAACACAAATATCAGCGTTCGAACAACTTCGTTTGAGAGTAGTCGTTTTTTTTTTTTTATTTCACAGTAATTCTTGTGTAATGAAACGCGCATGATAAAAGGTCAACCCCGAAAGAGGCGCTAATATGTACTTTGAGAGCGCAGCTGTTAGGCGCTCGTTTCCGGGTTGAGCGGCGTCGGCCTAACCGCGCGCGTTGCATTATGGGACGTTTCCCCGCTAAAGTTAGCGGGGAAATTTTCCCGCCTTGCTTCGCGGGGAAATTTTTCGATTTTACTGAGCGGGAAAAATTTCCCGCTAAATTTAGCGTTTAAATTTTTCCGCTAAGTTTAGCGGTAAACGTTTCCTTTAATTTAGCGGGGAAATTGTCCCACTAAAGTTAGTGGGGAAATTGTTCCGCCAAATTTAGGGATAAAATTTGGCGGCTAAATCTAGCGGGAATATTTATCCGGCAAATTTAGCGGGCAAATTGACGTCACGTTACCTCAACACCAATTCAGTTTCCCCGCTAAATTTAGCGGACAAAAATATAGTCAAGACTATGTGTCACGTCACCCATCAACAAGTTCAGTGGCAGGAGGAGAGGAGGAGGGGGGGAGGAGTGGCGTAGCCTCCCCTCCCTACCCTCCGGTCCTCCTCCTCAAGAGCTGCGCTCTAGTTTCGAATTACTGATTTTGACAAACGTCTTTAATTTTTGTTTTCAAATCAGATTGGGGTAGCTGGGTGGAGACTTCGTTTCACTACTTGCACCAAAATAGATACTTTTAGAGCGCAGCTCTTAGGGGCCCGTTCCCGGCTTGAGCGGCGTCGGCGTCGCCGTCGGCGTCGGCGTAACCAAGGTCACCCCAAGGTCACGCGACCCCCCAAGGTCACCCCAAGGTCACGTGACCCCTCCCCCAGGGTCATGTGACCCCCAAGGTCACGTGACACCCAAAGTCACGTGACCACCCCCAGGGTCACGTGACCTCCCCGATGACGTCACCGGCATCCACATCGTCATCGTCATCATCACTGATGACGTCATGAGTGACGTCACTGATGACCTCACCGGCATCCGCACCGTCATCGTCATCACTGATGACGTCATCAGTTACGTCACTGATGACGTCACCGGCATCCGCATCGTCATCGTCATCATCACGGATTACGTCATCGGAGTCCGCATCGTCATCGTCACTGATGACGTCACTAATGACGTCATCAGTGACGATGACGATGCCTCACCGGCATCCGCATCGTCATCATCACTGATGACGTCATCAGTGACGTCACTCATGACGTCACCGGCATCCACATTGTCATCGTCATCATCACGGATGACGTCATCAGTGACGTCACTGATGACATCATCGGCATCGTCACGTGACCCCCCAAGGTCACGTGACCCCCAAGGTCACGTGACCCCCCTCCCCACGTCACTTCACCCCCAGTACCCTTCCGTCCTCCTCCTCAAGAGCTGCGCTCTAATTCGGTGTTACAGGGAGTGGTAAACGGCTTTCACTTTTTTCCTCTTTACTATTGTAATAAAGGTGCCGTGTCACTATTTATGGGCTTTCACTAAATAACATGCAGCATTTATCTTTGACGTTCACAACCTACGAAACATGGGCTAGATTATATCTCGTATCACAGTCACCGCAAAATTAGAAAAAAACAAAAAAAAACAAAAAAAAAAAACGGCGTTCACTTTCTTAAGTTACAGACAGAATGAGCGGCCACATGCCGATCAGAGCCGTATATTGGAAGAGTTTGGCCAATGGGCGGCAGCAAAGGCCGCCGCCAGCGCCGAATACTCCTCCCGCGGTTGAAGCGTAAACTAAATGTGGGACATAGCCTCGACTAATCAGCTTACCGCGACGTCAGGATATTTGAAAGGACATTTAAAGCGTGAAATAGAAGCGTTTTATCTCGGCGTCTGGGTGACAGTTTGCTCTTGGCCTGCTTGCTAGAACAGCGTATCAGCTAAAACTGGCTGAAAGAAAAAAAAAATCAGAAAGATGACGACGTCGAGAGGGTGACACACCGGGTGTCGGCGGTGTCTCATTCTAAGCCGTGGGCCTCGGTACTTCGAAGGCCACAGCCTTCTGTTTTGACTGGGCTGCCCCCTTGGAGCCTGGTGCTTCGACCCCAGTGAGCGACAGCACCGTCATGTAACGATTGTACGGCACATTGGTCGCAAACTGACATTATTCACAAAGAGCGCAACAACACCAAGAGGCTCATAAGAGAGACAGTTCGTATCAAATCCATCGGTAGTTGTATCAGCCATGCTTCGATGCAACTCGGACGTAGTTCCAAAAAGTTTCTTAAAATCTAAAAGTTTCTTCTTTTTTATATATATATATAGTTGTAATTGAACGTGCAATGAGTCCTTTTGCGGGCAGAGGTTCATTTGGAAGTCATAGCAGTTCTCGTTTAGATAAAGCAGAGCCTTTCCAGACTCCGGCAGGAAAGGAAGGGGTTCCGTGTGTTTGTTTTGCTGTGTTTGATTTGTTCAAGGTCCTAAGCTTTAAGTTGGGGATTGAGGTCACCGTTTACGGTCTAGGTGAAGACCAGTGTGGGTAGGAGTGCGTAGATAACAAAGGTTGACCTTGTGATATACGACAGTGAGGAAATAAACGCAGTGGCTGAGTTTGAGACGTTTTTTTCCCCTGTCTTTCTTCTTCGACCAAGTTTCCCTGCTTTTACCACAGTCTCGGGTTTTCTACATCATGATCAACATCTACCAGCTCGCATGGCCACTCACTGTTTTTTATTGAATTTTACGTCAAGTTGCGTACACCACCGAGGATGCACGAAACGAGGATTTATTCCGGTGGTTAGATCTCCCGCGTTTTTCTGCCCTTTTTGAAAGATATGTGATAACGAAACACTATTAGGCTAGCTCTTTTAAAATCGATCGCATTGTTCAGCGCTCGCGAAGCAACGGCGAGCGTCTTTCAATACCTCGAGTGGACACCAAATATGGAAAGAGAATGCGGTTTATTTTTATGTTCCGGACATTTTTAATAGACTTCGAGAGTCGTTTCTTGGGCTGGACTCCAAAAGACAGCTAGAGGAAGGTCTGCGAACATTGCGCTAAATTTCTTTGCTTTTGTAACTGTTGCTCAACTACTTCGGCTATGAATGTTTGGATGGTACATCTTTTTTGTATCTGACGTGTGTCGTGCTTGTTGCGGTTGCAGCAAGTTTTCTGCTATGCTAAGTTGTGCTATGCCTACTAAAACTTTCTCTCAGCAAGACAAACAAGCTTTCAATCCAGTGTGACAATTGTAGTGTTCAAAACTTCGTAGTTTTCTTTTTGTTTTTACAATTTTTGTTTTGATGACATTTTTGTGTATTTGTTTCTTGTTTTTGCCGTCTTTCTTTCAATGTGTTGTGTGCGGTTTCGCAAGTTTATCTTGTGTAATTTAGATATTAGTGCGACTTCTTCATTTTTTCTAACTAGCTGTTCATGATTAATGTCATCACTATCTGTCATGATCGTGTGCTTATTTAATTCAATTGCGGGGCTCAAGTCCCACAAGCCATTACAGGCTTTGACGGACCTGTAAAACCTTTTAAACACTAAACACATGCCCATAAATTAGCATTAGTATTATTATTATTAAAACAGTGCAAAGGGTGGAGCGTCTTGAGACGCGGCCGTTTGCTCGGCTCGGTTTGAGACGGTCCCGCTGGGCTCGTGCGCTGGCTTTGGCAGTGCTTTTTTTCCCCCAGTCTCAGCTGAGACGCTCTTTCTAGCGAGTCCGCCCTGGTTTGGAACGCACGTTCGTTTATTCTACCGTTGAATATGGACGGGACGACAACCTCGCATGCGCCAAGTTTTCAGTCACTAGGAGTTATACCTTCTTACTCGAGCGACGCTAAAACGGCTTAAATCAGTCGAGTCGCATTTTTAAAGCTCATGATCACCGCTAGGGACACTTTCGCGACCTGCGGTTGGCACCGAGATGCTCTCCTTTGCAAACGAATGTATGGCCAAACTCTCTCAGTATATGGCTCGGCATAGTGCCGATTATATGCCGCCCAAAATTCATCACAGCCGCGCACTGGGGTTGGCAAGCACATCGCACGTGCTAAGCTACGGTCGTTGTTAGGGGTCGGCTGTTCCCGTCGCTGCAGTGATTTGACTCCAATCACCACCCGAATGCTTCTCAAAGTCAAAGCATTGACTGACATGAGACCAAGCCGTGCGCTCCCGCAGTACTCGTGTGCAATCTAGGAGCTGCATTTGAACCTATTTATTATAAGATAGTCCCGCGACTTCGACAATGATACGAGACCCGTTACTACGTCATTATGTTTGGCGAAAGGGAAGTTGGAAAAAAAAGTCCACACGTATCGTCGAAAGCACGCAGCGACAAAGACGCTTCAGGATCAGTGGCATTGCGTTTAAGCATACCAAGATAGCAGAAGTGCCGATATGTCTGTGTAAAAGAAAAACGTCACAATTTAATGTTGTTCCTTTGGGGTGACCGCGTTAGTTTACTATAAAGACGAGAAATAATGAAAAACCTAGCAGGACACGAGCAGCCCATTTGTAAAACTGTATTTCATGTATTCTGTCCCTATATAATTTCTTCCCTATCGTTCCAAGGCATTTTAAATAATAATATTACTACCTGCTACTTTCGCTAATGTTGCCACGACTGCTAATACTCTTGCTTTTATTCCTGCTCCTATTTTTGTTAAATATACAATTCCCTTTACTACTTATATTATTATGTAATAAAATTAAACGAACACACTTCAGACGGCTCGCGTGTAGGAATGCAAAAGCATTCCTACACGAAGTGAATTCCTGCAAGCAGCGTGTCACGTCTTCATTTGTCACACGGCGCTCAGGCGGTGACATCACGCTCCCCCACTGCGCAGGCGCGGAACCTCCGCCGGCTCCACGGCTTCCGTGACGAGGCATCTGCGTTGCTGTGCTCTGCTTTGTATTTCATTTTTTTTTTTGAGGCGCGTCCGCTTTGTAGCCAATGGGAGTTTATGTGCGCTTCGCTCATTTAAAAGGGATTTATTGGCCGTTTCGCTCAGCCAATGGCAATTTAGGTGCCGTTTCTCGCTGCTACAGACATCAGATAACACCGGCTTCGTTCCATGGGGCAGTTAAGGCTTTCGCAATTATATTTTGATTTTCTAATATTTATTGCAGCATACAAAATGGCAGGACCGGTCGTAAATATTAAGCAGAAATTGGCCTCATCACCAGGCTAAACGACGGGCGGTATTGAACGTGGCCATTACCTCCGCATCCATGTCTACCATGCAGTCATGGTTGAGTTGGTTGTTTGCCTAAACGCAACACTAGGAGGATTTAGGAATTGTAGCTGGATCGTTAGTTTTCTGTTCCTACCAGCCTCTTTAGTAGTCGACATGGTCATGTGGTGTTGGGTATAATATAAGGTGTCATCTATTTCATAAAAATTTGTCAACAACGTTATGCAGTTGTTGCACGTTAAAATTATTTTGGGCTTTGTACCGTCAGTAGACTGGATATAAGAAAATGTCTGATCATATGAATATACATAAAAAAATGACTGACTACGTCTTCTTAAAGAGGTACTCCGCCGATTTCTTCATGGTCCCCGATTTGCTTGAAATTTTGCTAAACTCGCCAAACAACATCGCCAAAATAGTATCCCAAATATTAGGTCAAAATAATTTTTTTTTCACGAAGTTATTGAATTTAAAATTTTGGTCCTCACCGTGTTTTTCAAGCTGAAAGTCTCTACTGGCAACAATGAAAAAGTGACGTCATTGGAAGTGCAGGGGTTCACTCTTTGGACTGTAGAATGTGTTCCCAACTGATTTGAAGCAGTTTTATGATGTCAAATGAATGCCTTGGAAGCTCGCTCCACTCCCCGCGCTCCAGCACGGAACAAATAATTGGCATATTCTATTTTTTAGACTGCTCGCCCGACTGGCAAGCTGAACTTCCACTGACGTCACGGCCCTGAAAAGGGCGGGTATATTTGAATGTCTGTTTTTGCATCATTTTCATTTGCCGATTTCGGAATAACTATTATGAATTTCACGATATTAAATAGCATTCCAGAAAGGGTAAAGGCCTGGGAGTCAGAAAATATAGTTAGTTGAGGTAGCTCAAAAATCGGCGGAGTACCCCTTTAAGGGAATTCGATGGAAGAACGCCTGGTCTTGCAAATGTAAAAAAAATGGTTCGTGTACTAGCTCGGCCCAGAATAAATAGAGAGCCAATAAGTACCTTTTGTCCTATTACAAAACAAGAGAATTGTGCAATGGCCTTAGTAAAGCAAAATTCAAAGATAAATAACTTTTTGAAAAATATATAAAACAGGGCATCTGTCATATAACTAATACTCGCAAAATAACAACAACAAAAAAGCGCGAAGGCAGCGGGAACATTTTCTTGTGACTTACGTGCATAGTACCGTTGGGGCAAGCTCTCTTTGGCAACGGCACCGTCTTGTCTCCGCATCCGAGCTCGCACCTTCCAAAAATCAAACTATTATAATTCTGCAATGCATCGACATATAATATCAAAGAAAAGACTCGAGGTACACCTAAGCACTTCTTATGAGTTGTGAATGCGAAAGCATGTACATCATTCTTCCACTCTCTTATTAGACAGTAGACAGTTTTAGTGGACCGTACGCTATAGCTTCGCGTACGCAAGGAGACTGCGGGTCGTGAGTGCGCATGCGCAGAACGCAATAAAAGGGCTAGCGTATTGCGTACGCACGCAACGCTGGGGATTTTGCGTTGCTGGCTAGCGGGCCTTGCGGAACGCTCTCGAGAGATCTCGGACCCAACGAGAGCTCCAGTTTCAAGATGGCGGTTGCCTCGACTGGCGCATCAAGAGCGACGTGGCGTTTTCGAAGTTCTGTGTTACGTGAAATTGCGTGGTGTTCAGCTCGGCGATTCTTTCTGGGACCTACCGCGGTCGAATCAGATCGCCCTGCAGCTGAAGGAGTGCACAGTGGAAATGTTCGCCGCTCGCAGTGTGCGTCGACGCTGCGATCCGCTCAACGCTAAGCCTATCCCCACAGTTGATCGCCGACGGACGAACGACTCTAAAAGAAGTCTCCGAAGTTCTTGCTATGCACTGGACATCAGAGTCATGAATTTCATTCCGCGATAGCATCGATAAAAGGTGCCGTTTCCACGGGACGACTGACGGAGGCTCGGTGATCGAATTTGACTACGCACTCGTACTCGGTACCCCGCAGAAAAGCGCGCTTGACGAGGCAGCTGTGGCTTGGTTTAATTTGAAATAAAATGATTGGACGCGTTTTCATTTTCAATATTTCTTTCCAGGAGCATGGTTGCGCTGTAAGCACGCGGAATTCTACGGCTCTAGCAAATTTAACCAAGATCATGCGCGGTGTTCACTCGAAAACGTAACGCACAGCTAAATTCGGTCCGAGCAGGTCATTTTTAGCGTACGCTCTATTATTTCGTATTGCGTACGTAAGATCCAACAACGCTATACTAAAACTGTCTATTTCCTCTGCAGCGTATTTGCGTCGACAGCGTCGACTAGAGTTCCTGGATAGGCTCCCTACGGGAGCCAGAGTTTGGCGTCTGTTTTCCACGCGGCGCCGCCCCGCTATTCGCCGAGATCCGATCACGTGAGGAACCGGATCAGCGTGCCCCGGCGTACGTTCCCCTGCTTTTGAACGCGCCGTGCACCTCGAACGCGCGGCGCCGCTATTGGCCGAATTCAGTCACGTATTGAGCGGGATCAACATGCCGTGCGGGAAAGACGGCGCTACGGGGATGAACGCGCAACTCTGGCTCCCGTCGACTATACTTCGTTTCAGCTTCGGTCCGAGCGCGGTCGATGTTATGAGCCGAAGGACCAATCAAACAGCGCAAAAAGCGCAGCGTCATGGTGTGCTCTCTGCGCTTGACAGGACAAGCCGGCGGAGGAGCGCGCACAGAGAGACGGCGAATACCGGCTGGGTCCTATCAACTGCAGAGAGCACGCCATGACGTTGTGCCTCTTTCGCTGTTTGATTGGCCCTTCGGCTCATAACATCGGCCGCGCTCGGACCGAAGCTGAAAGGAAGTATAGGGTGCATGTGTGTCTGTCTCAGGGTGAAGACATCGATTGTTGCCCTGAATGTGCCAGCGCGTGACGCTTTCGCGTACTCGGTGCGTGACTTGGGCGGTAAAATGGCGTCTATGCATTAGCCCAAGATACGCGCTCGAGCTGAGTGACACCGGGATTGCGCTCACCTCAAAATTCATAAAAAAACCGACCAGACGAAAAAATGGCTGAGAGGTCACGACTCACGCAAAAGCGCGTGTGTGTATCAACCTCGTTGGTGTGTATGAAGGTATGAAGGCACTCTACCGTCGACTAGAGACCGTCGACGGACACGCAGCACCATGGGGTGGCCGGTCGTTGAAACTGACGGGCAGCGTGTTTCAACAATCGGCCACCCCATGACGCTGCGTTTCCGGCCATTGTAGGGTGCCTCAATAAACGCGCCTCCGTCCAGGGCCTCTAAACTCGTCAAACACAAAGTTGGGGCCGAAGTTGACGGAGGGCACCAATTGGTCTATCACGACGATGACTTCGCGCTTTTTTCGCCAACGTTTAATCAGCGCGCTCTGCGAACTTTCGGCTCCAACATTGTGTTTGACAAGTTTAGGGCCCCAGGGTGGAGAGTCCAAAGAGCAAGTTGTCTGCATCTTGCGCAGGAGTTGCGGCAGAGGCGGTCCCAAACATTGGTTCTAGGACCCTAGCCGGGGAAAGGGGGGGGGGGGGGAGCAATCATATAGGCAGCGGGGCGACCATAAAATCCGCGGCGGACGGAGCACAGGATATTATGTCGCCACCATGTCACATGGTGCCGTCTACACCAAAAAGACCTCAAAGTGACAGCTAACACTCTCCTCTAAAGATAGATGACAGAACTTGAAATAATCTGTGAGGTGTGGCTGGTGCACATCGTAGAAGTCAACTTGCCACTTCCAGTGAACAAGAGTGCTCCCACAATCTTCAAACAATACAAAAACACGACCGAAGAAGGTTTAGAGGGGACGATTTCTCCCCCTCCCTTCTCCCCTCTCTTGGTATCGTGTTTGAGTTGCGGTGACTTCAAAACGACGCTGATTGGCTTTGATTTAAAGGATTGCACTCTAAGAAGAGGGCGTATCATTACACCCTTTGTCCGATATAATACACCCCAATACTTCAGTTCAACGTACAGCGCACTGACGTCAATCTGACGGCACTAACTTTCTCGAGAGGCTTGATAGCCGTGTGGTACAGCTTATTAAAATAGTTAAAGCACGTGTTACTTACTACCAAAAAAAACGTAATTGGGGTTTTCTTGGCCCTACTGCCAAACTTCAGTGTTTTCTTTTTGTGGTCTTTCATGCGTACTTTAGCTATTCAATAAGTTACATCCCACCGTTATCAAGTACCTCGTAAAATTTGGGGCCGTCTGTTCGACTATAATTCGCTTTACGTCGAACTAAAGTTTTGGGGTGCATTATATGGGACGAAAGGGTATAAGGTGATACCTTTCTCTTTAGAGTGCTAGATGCCTTGAAGTTCACTGACATCAGCCAATAAACGCTCGACGTTCTGACATCATCGCTACCCCAGTGCTAGAAACAGACGAACTTGCGATTTGCATTGTTCGAATGGTCACACTTGCTAAATTCCATGTAGAGAGAGAGAGAAAATCACTTTAATTAGAGCAAAGATTAAGTACCCAAGATATCCTCCGCCTGAAGTACCAGGGCGAGCTGATCTTCCAGTTGCGGCGACGCCAACCATGCACTCCAGGAGGGTGGTGGGGGGTTAGGAAGAAATGAGGTGGTGTAGGCGACCGGGCAATGAAGGAGACAATGTTCTTGATTGGCATAGGGAGCTGGGCAGTTGGGACAGGAAGGGTCTGATCGATAGCGGAAGAGGTAAAGGCGAGCAGGTGTGACGAGGGTGTTTGTCTGGATTTTACGGAGAATGTGGGTCTGCGCGACACTAAGCTGTGGATGTGGTCGAGGTAGAAGTTCATGAGATATACGGATCTGTTTGTAATGTAACTTGAGTGTTTTTTTGTACTCTGCTGCCTCGTCATTGGTCGGGGGGCTTAGCCAGGGGATTGCAGGTGCCCGGCTGTGAAATTCGCGGGCGAGCTGATGTACCAGCTCATTACCTGCTATCCCTGCATGACCAGGGACCCATCGAATCGTGACCGAGGATGAGGAGAGAGAGTGTAGGGCCATTTCAAGGTCCTCTCGAAGATCGGCAGGAATTTGTCTCTGTTGCAAGAAGCGTATAGCAGCCATAGAATCAGAGTAGACAGTGTAAGCGGACGTGCGCGGCAATTGGCAGAATGATATGATGGCATGGATAATGGGGACAAGTTCTAACGTGGTGATTGACGGGGGGTCGCTGTATGGACCGCACGTGTGAAGAATAGGTAAGGAATGTTTAGGTATGTAGATTGCGTACGCAGCCGTGCCGGTGTCCAAGATGGAAGCGTCGGTATAGGCTATCGTCTGTGTCTGAAATGGTGGATTATGATGCAAGGCCTGAGCATCTCTGCGACCGTCGTCCAGGCCCGGAGCCATGCGGCGGGGCAGAAGAGCGAAACGCAGATTAGAGGGCAATGGCGAAGCGGGTAAGTGCAAGTAAAAATCAATTGGTTAGAGTCCAGCTTGTTCTAGGATCCAGCGCCCTTGATGTGACCCCGAGAGGCGGGCTAGCTGTCGGCCACGATGGAGGTGTAGGAGTGAGGAGAGGGGAAGGAATAGGCCGGTCTCGTAGAGACTTTGCGTTGAGGTATGGATTGGAAGGTTAAGGGAGGCCTTGTACAGAGTGCTTAATGCAGAGCTGAGTTTATTAATTTGCTGTCGTGTGAGCGTGAAATATGGAACCGAATAAAGAATTTTACTAAGAGCCAATGCATGAACCAATTGACTCGCTTGTTTTTCATTGAGGCCCGCACGTCTTTGCACGACTCTGCGGACAAGATGTGTTACCGAGTGGCACGTGTTTATCGCCGGAGTGATGTTAGCCTGATTTGATCGATCGTGGAGATGGATGCCGAGGACCTTCCATAAGGATACTCGCGGGATGGTCTGATGGTCTAAATAGAGAGAAATGAGATGGTTTACAGAGCGCTGATACTGGGTTTGAGACAGCAGGAGTAATTCCGATTTTTCTGGGGCCGGTTTCAGCCCTGCTTGGGTTAGGAACGCAGTTATGGTGTCTAGACCTTTCTGAAGAGTAGATTCAACTTCCCCTGGTGATCCGTGAGTGCACCAGAGGGTGAGGTCATCAGCATAAAATATGTGGGAAAGGTGGGGTATCTGCTGCAGGCAGCGAGCTAGCTGGGCCATACCCAGATTGAAAAGAGTAGGGGAGAGGACAGCCCCTTGAGGTGTACCTCGTGTGAGTGAGAGTGGTTGGGACAACTCGCCCCCTATACGAAAGCATGCAGTGCGGTCCTTAAGGAAGTTTTGGATGTAGGTATACAA